AACAAACAACAGGCAAGTGAAGATTTATCTCAGTTTTTATTTCAATTCCTATTACAAAGTACTCAAACTGTGTTTATTTAAAGTTAGCTGTTACATATATATCATCATATATAAGCATTTCTATCACGTTGTGTTTATCTCAAGTAGCTATTACATATCATCATAAGCATTTCTACCACCATCACACATATAAGTTTACCAAAGCCAAAGCCACACTCTCAATCACACTTCTCACAACACATTAAGACTTATATTTAGCAGAACAAGTTTTGAGCTCAACAGTATCAATATGCAACGTATCACTCGGAAAACTGCAGCCGTCTTGCTCCTCGGGCAGCAAATCACACGCCGGCGGATTCACATTGCTCGACACGCCATTGATATCCTCACAATTCCAAGCCCCGCCATTCTTTCCCTTCTTGTCCTTCTTGTTTTTACCCTTATGCGTATGCTTATCATTGTCCCAGTCCTTCTTCTCGTCCACCTCGTACTCCTCCCTCTTTTGCTCCGCCAGCTCAGCCGTCACGTTAGAAAAGCAAAGCTCGGTAAACGGGTCGCCCTTGATCCCCGAAAGATTCCCCACGATGTTCACGCCGTCGGCAGAAACATCCATAAAGTTGATATTCTTTATGGAGGGAAGCGCGTTGGGGTCGTAGTTATCGTCAGGGTGCGTCTTGTAGTTTCCCCCCATCCAAAAAACGTACCTATTGATGGTGTGCAAATCCATGCCCTGGACGAAAACATTCTTGACGTAGCCCCCGCGACCGCGCGCCGTCTTGATCCTCACTCCCGACTCTGAGTCGTAGGCTGTGATATTCTGGGCTCGAACGTCCTTGATGCCCCCCGACATTTCGCTTCCGAGGGCTATGACGGCCGAGGTGGGGGAGAAGCACGTGAGTCCGTGGATGCTTAGGTGTTCGGTGGGGATTCCCATCTTTATGCCGTACTCGTCCCACCCGCTCTTCACCGCCACGCAGTCGTCGCCAGACATGATGTACGCGTTGCGTATGCGAATATCCGAGCATGAATCTGTTGTGATTATATGAAAATTCATCTTTTCAACTCAACCACTCATATGACAAAAAAATACGCGTACGCTACCTGGGTTGATCCCATCAGTGTTTGGTGAGTCATAGGGGGCAGAGATAGTAAGATCTTCAATAACGACGTTTCTACAAAAATTTAAAAAAAAAAAAAATATTGAAAATCATCAAATAATGTCAGCAAAATTTTATAAAAAAAACGACCAGTTTTAGCTGAAGTTAAGATGAAGGACCCTACTTGCAGTAGACGGGATGAACGTTCCAGGTAGGAGAATCGATGAGGGTAAGATTGGTTATTACCACCTTGGTTGAATACATGATCTCAATCAAGTATGGTCTTGTGATGGTAAGCTTACGACTTTTGAATTTTTTCCACCATGTCCCGCCTTGACCATTTATTGTTCCATTCCCTCCTGAAATAAATAAATAAATTTGTATTTCCTTTTTGCAAAATTGTAAAATATGGTTGGTAATTTGGGATGGATGCCAAATTTGCTTAGTAAGTTTTGTCTTTTCGGAAACTATACCTCATAAATAATAAAAGTCAGAGAAAAATATGTCCAAATTATGCAAATTAATTACCCACGAACTAAATCTAATTCTTGTATTTGGGTAATGTGCACTATTTAATTTGGTGTACCATCAAGCTTTGACATATATGTGATTAACCCAATTTTAGTTACCTGTAATAACGACGTCAGTTAGGTTTGTTCCAGTAATGAAACTAGAAAACCTTTTCTCTGTACCATCACTTCCTCTTCCGTATGAGGGCAATGCATCAATTATAGGATAGTCTCCTTCATCCTATCAAATCCATAATATCATGTTACACAATCTTTTTTTACAAATTGAAATAAAGAATGAACTATATTCAAAAATGAACATGTTGGTTGTACCCCAAATTCTTGTGTTGGTCGGCCTAACCATTAAGCGGCTCGACAGTCATTACATCTGTCTAACAACTATATTTCAGTTTGAAAATATGCATATCTAATGAAACAATGTAGTTGCATAATCGTTAGAGCTGTCTAACAACATACAACATACTTAACTGTTGTTGTATGTACCAAAAGTCAATGATGAATGTTTCATGTCTTTATACTTTGGGCAAAAAAAAAAAGTAGGAGAAGATATGAAAGTGGATGTATGTACAACCTGAGATGCAAGAAGAACAACATCGTGGTTGAATATAAAGCATGTGAGACTGAACGAAAGTGAAATTATGCATATTGATTAAGGGAAAAAGAGTACAACCTGAGATGCAAGAAGAGTAGCATCTTGGTGAATGTAGAGCGTGAAATTACTTGTGAGACTGAACGACCCCGTCAACCAATTTCCGGGCGGGACAATGAGCAATGCTCCGCCAATTGACCCGTACGTGCTCAAATCGGCAATGGCCTTCTCAAACGCGGCCGTGTTTAATGTCTTTCCATCACCTTTCGCACCGTAATCGGTCAAAACGGCTATCTTTTTTCGACATTTTAGACCCGAGTATTGGATTTGTTGCTTGGTAGGCTTGGAGGCGGCATCTTGTTTCTTACATTCCAATGCGTTCAAGTACAGGAATGCCAGCAACAAACATGTCATAAACCTCTTCATAATCTTAAAAGAAAAAGATTGGAGATCAAGTTTAATCTACAAGAGCATAGGAATATGAACAAAATGTGTTTAGATTGATTAACTTTATAGAGAGATATCGTATCAAATTTCAATACATGTCAATATGTAACCAAATAACCAATCATCATGAATTCAAAGAAAATCCTTGCACCTATCAACGTCCAAGAATATTCAAACACATATTTTTTTATTAAAAATGTGATATATCACAAAACTGTGATTTTGGGTATGTTTGTATATGGAGAGGTTTTGGGTGTGTTTGTATATCACAAAAGTCAATTCATATTCAAAATTTAACTTAACTTCACTATCTTCAATATAATTAAATAATATCAACCAATCATTCTAAATATCACATTAAATTTAATTTATTATTCATCTACTCACATAATTTTAACTAACTATCACTTCACATCATTTATATCCTACTTTTATATCAAATCAACTTTAGTTGTAATATAAAATTAAAAATGTACTAATAATTAACTATACTATTTTTTTTCTTCAAAATTAACACTAATAAATATATTTGTATACAAATACGCTCCTCAGATCAAATTTCAATACATGTCAATAGGTAACCAAATAACCAATCATCATGAATTCAAAGAAAATCCTTGCAGCTATCAACGTCGCACAAGAATATGCACACCCCGCGTGATTGTGCGCTTCCCCATAAGGCCGCATAACTCGTGATTTTAGATATATAACACATATTTTTTATTAAAAATGTGTTATATACTTGTATCACAAAAGAAAAAACTGTGATTTTTGATGTGTTGGTATATAGAGAGATTTTGGGTGTGTTTGTATATCACAGAACTCAATTCATACTCAAAATTTAACTCAACTTTACTATCTTCAATATAATTAAATAATATCCACTAAATCATTCTAAACATCATATCAAATTTAATTTATTATTCATCTACTCACATAATTTTAACTAACTATCACTTCACATCATTTATATCCTACTTTTACATCAATTCAACTTTAATTGTAATATAAAATTAAAAATGTACTAATAATTATCTATACTATTTTTTTTCTTCAAAATTAACACTAATTAACTTTAAAAAATTATTTTAAATGAATATATTTGTATACAAATACGCTCCTCAAATCAAATTTCAATACATGTCAATATTTAACCAAAACCAATCATCATGAATTCAAGAAAAATCCTTCCACAAGAATATGCACACACACGCATGGAATAATGTGTCCGTGTGATTGTGCGCTTCCTCATAAGGCCACGGAAAATTTGATCCTATCCATGTGGGCACTGCTCTCCATGAGTTTTTAACCATTGATTCACACATAAACACACACACCCACATAAGTATGTGTGAAATCAATGGTTAAAACTCCTATGAGGGCAGTGCCCATGGGGTAGGATCGAATTTTCCTAAGGCCACATAACACGTGATTTTCAAGTATGTAACGCATATTTTTGTAAAAAAATTAATAATAATTAAATATTAATTATGTTACATATATGATTGTGTCTTAGGTTGTGTGTGTTGTAGACTTGTAGTTGGGTTGGTTCTAGACTGACTCGGACTTTCTGCTTATGGATTTGTCCTCCCAGTTAGATTCAGCTAAGTAGTTGACTTATCGGATTGTTTAGCTGTCGTCTGGTTTGTAATTATGTGTTTTTCTTTTAATGAACTCTTATCGTTTCGGAAAAAAAATAAAAAAACATATATGATTTAAGTGTTGCCAAAATTTTATTACTTAAAAAAATGTTACAAAAGAGCATTTTAGTTATGTTGTACCAAAATACACGTGTACAAGTGTGAATATGGGGCAAAATTTCAAAATTGGTCCTATAATTTGGCCACAGTCCAAAAAACCACCTCTATATTGACCATTTTCAATTTAGGTCCTATAATTTGTCGATTTCATCAATTTTGGTCCTTTTTTTATCCTAACCCTGGATAAAAACGTGATGTGGCGTTTTTAAAACTGACATGGCATGATTGTGTATTACGTGGCCGGATTATGAAAATTCCTTCAAAGTTAAATGATCCACGTCAGTTCAAGTCCCTAGTTGCAATTAAGTAAACCTTTTGAATTTGTAAAAAAGTCCATAAAACTTATTGAATTTTTAAAATGAGCCCCTGCAACTTGTCTTCACCCATTCACGTTCGCCGACCGCCTCTGCCGTTCGCCGGCCGCCGGCCAACGACCTCATATCTGAATTTTCTTTATATCATCTTGAAGCTCTTCTCATCCTCGTTTCATCTTCTAAAATTTCATCGATAAAACCGTCAATTACTCTAGTCAAAGTTTTTAGATCTTGAAAATTTTGGTCAAAATCCGCCTTATTCTTTAATTTTCCGGCAATTCACGGCGACCCACCAAAATCCGAGGACACCTCTGGACTCCTTAGGCCGCTGCACACCCGATGATGTCCACCATCTGTAGAACCGATTAATTTTTCGTGGCCCCGTTTTTTTCTGGCAACCCGTTTTTTCCACGGTGGCGAAGGCGAGGGGGCTGTGGAGGCGTTGCTGCTGGTTGAAGGGTGAACGTGCGGCTGCTGGACGGACTCTAACACAAGCAATGGTGTCAAAACTCTGATCTGTTGGTTTTTGTTCGACTTCTGGTTGATGGTGTCGTGTTTTTTTTTTCTTCTTTTTTCTTTTTTTTTGGTTGAATGGTGTCGAAAGTGCTGGTAAAATTCTTTATTTTTCTTTTTATCTTTTAGTTCTAATTTTTTTGTCTCCACGTGTCTGTTTAAGTTCTATTTTTTTGGTTTTATTTTTATAGTTTTTTTTCCCTATTTCCACATGACATAATTGAAATATCGAATTCAAATAAAACCGCCATGTCAGATAAAAATTCGCCACGTCAAATTTTTATCCCGGGGCCGGATAAAATAGGACCATAAATGATGAAATTGACGATTTATAGGATTTAAATTAAAAGTGGTCAATATAGGGGTGATTTTTTGGACTGTGGCCAAGTTATAGGACCAAAAATAAAATTTTGCCGTGAATATGGGAATATTCTACTTTTCTCATTTATTAATTCAATTGTTCTTATTTATGCAGTGGTTGAATTGGTGCACATATTAATTTAAAAAAATATATAAATATATATACATATTTTAAAAAAATAAATAATTATAATAATATTCCATGCGATAACTAATACCCTCCAATTTAATTTGGTGATTTCAGTAACAATCTCATAATAATATTTATTACATAAAATCACTTAGCATTGTCCATCTCCAAGCCAATAATTTCATAAAAATTGGTTATGTTTTTTATGGTATACTAGTAAACATCTCGTGCAATGCACGGATGGATTTATACTTTAATTTTTTTTAAAAAAACTATATTTTAAGAATATATTAGTCCATTGACTCATTTATATTAATGTAAAATAAGTTTTTAACACATTTATTTATGTGTTCATACAAAATAATAATAATAATAATAATTTTACTTATTTTTTGTCATCGTAATACTAAAATATTATTTTATTCTAAAATATATTATCATATAATGTTATTATTTTTATTTATAACACTTATAAAAGTAGTATTCTTTTTTTTCATATATAGTGATAAATATTTAATATACATTAAATATTATTTTGATGTAATTAAGTAAATATATGCAAACAAATTTGAAATAGATAAATTGTCATTTGTGCATTCTATTCAATTTTAAAAATTTATCCTATCATATAATAATTAAAAATATATATTTATATGTTTGTGTGTGTGTAGGTGTATGTAAATTATATATATTCAAAGACCTGGTGGGATACATCCAAAATTAAGATAAGATTGAAATGTGTGTGTGGGTGTTATAAATGTGATTATATGGAAGTTAAGATGAGATAGAATGTGTCACGGTAAATCTGTGTGTGATCTTTTCCTTTAAATGTTTGAATTTAATTTTTTTCAAAAATTTTCAAAAATACATTTAGGCGGGATATTTTCCAAAATTTTTAAAAAAGATTACTATGTTTAGTAAATATTTAGGTAGGATTCCTAATTATTTTTTAGTTAGTATTTCGGAATTTTTTGGGTTGTCTCTTTATATAATAATTAGTACGAATCTCGTGCGATACACGGTAAAAGATATTCGTCAATATATATAAATTAAAAATGCTCATTACGTAATATTTATAAATTAAAAAATACTGAATCAATATATAATACAATTTATCTACGGTAAGAGATATTCGTCAATATTATAAATAAAAATACTCATTAAATAAAATTTATAAATTAAAAATATGCAATCAATATGTAATACAATTTACCTATATTAAATTATTAAAAATGTTATGAAATTTAATTTGTTCATACATAAAACATGTATATTTAAAATTAGTACACAACTCGTACGCTGCACGTAACTAATAATAAATTATATTATATTCATTTCAAAATATGTGTCATTTTAAAAAATTTATTATGAAGTTCGATTTGACTACAATATGATTTCATAAAATAAATATCTCGGTAAAATTTTATAATATATTCAAAATATTATATGAATAATAAGTATAAATATAAAACTTATATTGTTTCATTAATTAAAATAAATTTATTTTTGTATAAACTGTCCAAATAAAAAAAATTAAGTAGTTGAGTAATTTATTAAATTATAAATAATTGATTATTCCATTTATGTCAAAGTTAATATAGACCCTAATATAGACATGTAAGTCTTGAATATTTACTTATTTGACTTTTAGATTTAGAACCGAAATTTGGACTACACAATAAATTTTCTTATATATTTCATACACACACACAAACACACACACACACACACACACACACACATATATATATATATTTATAAATAATTATTTCGAAATTTTTTATATTTGTTGTCGGTTACCTTATTGTTTGAATTTATAAATTGATTCTCTATAATTAAATTAACAATTTTAAATTTTGTTAACCAATATTTGTTAAAGGATCTTTCTTATTTTCAAAAGGAATAGCTACCAATTTGTTTAATTATCATTAATATCTTATGGCAAGTTATTATGGGAATATGCTAAACTTGATAATCATATCACCTTGATTTTATAACAAATCAACCTAAAATTCGACTTTCATACTCATACCAAATAAAATTCATACCACTCATTTTGTTTTTCAAAATTTCAAATACATTTCTATCTATACCAAATAAAATCCATCACATTTAAATTTAGACATTTAATACCAAAATAAAATCACTCATTTTATTTCATAAAATCGTCAACTTTATTCTAAAATTGTGATATCCATTCAATTTTGTTACATAAAAGAAATTAATCATTTTTTTTTTTTTGCCGAATTTGATCGGATATCACTATTTTATGTACCAAAATAAAAGAAAGAAATCATATAAATTCAAAATTTTCAAACAAATATAATAACCTGTAAGATTTTATAGTACCAACTACCAAATATATTAGACGGAGTCTAAAAGAACTTGTTATTTTGGATTTTATCACTATTATATAATAATTGAAAGAGTCATAAAAATTGGTAATCTTTCCAAATTTTAAAATGGAATTGTACTTGACAAAATATGGTTAAACAAAATCATCCTTAAATATGTACACTTGCAGCCCGATATATCTAACGATTTTGTAGTGCCAAAAATATTAGACAAAGGCCAAAAACAATAGATGTAAGTTAGAAATTTATGTTAATAAATGAAAATTGCATAAAATAACTTACCACTTGCTTTAAAACAAAAGAAAAAAAATTATCAACTAAAGTTTAATAAAATAATATTTACCTAAAATATTTGTATCATTTGAATGGTAACAGCCGTTACATTTGACTAGAATAATTTTGTACATTAATTACATTGGTTTTTTTAATTTGAAGTTCAAGTGATTGGTGACCACTTTTCAAAAATATTTAAAAGAAAATACTAATATAGATAAAAATAAAAAATTTATGCAGAATTTTAATTACTGTTTCAGATAAATACAAACATTTTTATTTATATATATAGATAGACATTACTAAATAAAAATATGTTAATTTATAGGGCCTATTTACTAATACGACAAAAGTAGTTGAATTCAGAACCTATGCGAGGACGGCCAAAGTAAATCGTCATGATTTCGAGTTATGCGAATTAATCTTTCTTACGGTAATCAAGTAAAGTTGCCTCTCTACTACTTTCTACATACTAGTCTTCTTTTGAGTGTTTTTGTGGTCGTTTAGCTATTGGTTAAACCATATTCTCAATGAAGATTTACCGAAAGGAACAAAATCTTGGGTATCATTTATTTATTAGGATATTTCAATCACAAAACTTAAATATAATTTTAATATATATATATATATATATATATATATATATACTCAAAATGCACACTTCAAAGTAACAATTTTTCTTATAGTCCATATAAAATTAAACTTCACCCGATAAATCGTATTTTCACTATAATTTTATTTCGTGGTGTTAACATTCAGAAAAACAGCAAAGAATTAAAAGAATGAGATGTCTATACAATTCGCAATTACCAAATGGAGAACAATCTTGATAAATATTAGTCTACAATTGTCAATTGCAAAATGATTTTACATGAAAAATAACGAGATTTTCAATATTATACGACTTTATCATGACGAACATTTTATGATTATTCGACACATGTTCTACGTATTATAACTTATGGATTAATAATAACCTTCAATTTATAAATTTTAATACAAGAAATACAATCCGTACATCGCACATGTTACAGATAGAATGTTCACAAATGATCAAACAAAATTATTACCAACTACAAATATCAAGAGTAGAAAACGAAATATTCAGAAAGCACACATCAAACTTGGAAATTAGTAGTATCAAAGAAGAAGCAAGAAAAAAATAAAAAAGGTATTTATGCTGCACATCTCTCCGTGAAATACACAGGCGTACGGTTTGTGTTACACATCTCGGATTTCCTCAGGCATGTGAAATTTACAAGTCCTAAAATCTTTAAATTACGGACGGTGTTAACCATTGAAAAAATCCAGATAATGCAGGGCCCTTGAGCTAGACGTAGAACAAAATAGTATGTAAAATAAAGCATATATACTTTGCGAGTCTCAGCTTGCAGGCGCGTAATCCTCAATGGCAGCAGCAAGTTTATCTCTGTTCTTTGTTCTCATTAAAAAGGACCGAGCAACGACTTCTTCAATGCTATCACCATCCTCCTTTAAAGATAGCATGAAATTAAACATCAGATACAGTTGATTTAATTGGGCAACTACGTAAATATTAACATATCTGGGGATTTCACATTGCAAAAGATTGGCTTGCTTCTGTAAAAAGAGTAGGCTACATTTTCTCTATTTTTAGGGGCTGTAGGATAAAATTATGCCTCCTTGAACAAAACCTTATCGTAAATCACAAATCTATACAGGAAATTAGATGTCTCACGGCTAAAACTGAATTTTCAACAAAATGGATTAACTGTGTTGCTGACTATTTAATAGGCTGAACATCTTAGTTTCTGCATGGTTTGACCAAATTGGTCATTCAAATGACCCTCAATATCAAACTGTTAGAACAATACTAAGCTGAACTAAAAACGCATGCTTTCCCCTTCAGTTTTGTTACAAGGAGCAAGTGCGATCAAGTTAACGAATTGCTAACTCGGCTGCTCCGACAACTCTAGCATAGCCGCGTTTATCAATATTGCTTGTACCCTGGTGCATCTTTTCCAGTGGAAGTGGTTCGAATGGAGATTTAAACATCGGAGGCGGGTAGCAATCCACGTCATAACCCTACAAAAATCAGAAGCAGCTCATCATCCATTTCAATCGAACAATAGAGCCCTGCAAATAGATTTGATGCTTGTTAACTAATAAAATACACTAGAACTAACAATCATATATAGAAATCAAATTACAAGCAGGAGAGTGACAAATGACAATCAAAACCAATACTGCTATAGTTCAAAATCCTTCTAGATCAACTCTCAAACTCTGCATCAGCTAAAGCTAATATACACACACACATCCATGTACAACATAGCAAACAAAGCATAAACCTGATTTCAGAAAACAAAAACAAAAAAATAAGACAAACCAACATAAGAAATATAATTAAACAAAATTAACGAGTATATGAACCGGATGCAGAAAAACAGAGCGCCCCAAACACATTAAATTAAGGATGAAAAAAACAGGACCAAGTAGGCGAGCAAAACCCTAACTATAAACAATCGGATTTCAACAAAATTAAAAATAAAAACCACCGGTAGAATCAGTACGGGGACAGAAACGAGAAGAAGGATTTTAGGGATAGATACCCTGGATTCGCGGACTTGTTTGAGGAATCTCTTGACCAGCTCGATGGTATTGGGCTGAATCTCCTCGCCGTTCTGGTAGAAATAGGATTCAGGGACGTCATAATCGTTCTCTTCGAACCAAAACTTGCGCTTGTACTTTACAAACAATCCCCACCTGTCATCGTCGAGAGTCGGGTCCGTCACCATCTTCATTGTTACCCCGATGTGTTTGGCTCTCTACGTCTCACTTTTATAATGCATCTATATACAATCCGACTCAATACATGTCAAGTGAATATATAGGATATAGGGAAAGACTAAGTCGGTTCAGAGTTCAATATCAGCCATTAGATCTTTTGGTTTTGATATAGACCATTAGATATAGTCAAAACAATTTTTTATTGGAAGTTTACATGAAATGGTTCTATTAGCATTTTCCTGATATATAATATATATTCCGTTACGGATCTAAATATTTCATTCAGGGGTGCCAATTTTAAGTGTTAAATAACGAGCTTATAGTTTAAGTCGAAAAACACATTTCATATAAAAATATATTTACTATAAATATAAATATGGATATATGTATCATTAAATTTTTAGAAATTTAGAATCCGTATCACCCTCACTTTTTTTTGTTTAGAGAAAAACTAAGATTTCATGTAGTTATAATTTAATTCCAACATTTATAATTTATAAAAAAATAATAATTCTTGGTTCAAAATTTGATTTAGATTGAACTTTTGCAGCACATTGCATAACATTTTTTTTATGAGAGCTTATCAAATAAAAAATTTCTTAAGAAAAAATAAATAAAGTTAAAAATATGTAATTACACAAAAAAATAGTAAAAAATCAACATTAGAAAATATAACAATCAAACTAAATACTCAATTTTAAAATCACTAAATCGATTTATAATTAAAAGACCGAAAGAGTAAATTATATAAACATTTTCAAAAAACTTATCTAGAAATGTAAAATATAAAGATTGTTATTAAATTTTTAAATAAATGAATAATATTATTTATTTAAATTAAAATAACGTAGAAAATAAATTTTACTTATTAATATATTGTAAATATATTTTTTTTTCATTTCTATACATATTTTATAGTATTTTCTTTTTATATTTGTTTATATATATATTTGACTATATATTACTAGTTGAGTTGCACTAACCAACTCAAATTTAGTCGATAATCAAGTTAAAATTTGATTATCGACTATATGACATCGTCTATTTGATTAGTATAGTCTCTCTGCTAACATTTAATTAGGGTAGTCTATTTGTCATCTTCACCTATTCACTTAATTGCCCCATGAAAAGAAAAAACTTATAGCATGTATAATGCATACAGGAAAAAGTATAGACAAGAGACAGTTGTATTGTCAACATATCCCTAATATGAACTAACCCAAAAAAGAATTGTCACCATACAATTTCCCAGCCCACACATTAACATTCTTTTTCATTGAAAACAATCCTATTGAGATTTGAAAGCATACAACACGCTGAGTCTTCGCCATTATCAAATGAGCTTATGTTGATATCCAATAACTCCAATTGTCCAAGTTAAGAAATAAAAACTTCAAACTATCCTTTGAGTCTCGCAGGACCCAGCTTAGCCAATGCTCGTTCGACTTCTTTGCTAACCTATCAAACAAGAGGTATTAATAAGACAAACCTCATGGACAAGCGCACAATAATGTCAACATCACTGGTCTAATGGTATGATGCATGTTTCACATATTTTTCATAACTAAATAAACTTAAAAGAGATTGAATATAACACAGAAAATAAAGTTAAAAAAATACAACTGTATTTAATTGGAATAATGAGATAGAACCCCTTAATTAGGACCCCAAAAACCAATAAACCAGACAAAATGAACTTCTCGTCCATATCAAAGCCTGCTTCAGAGGAGAAGAAGAAGAAACTGGAAAAAACCGATGCACGTGGGTTGTTCGAGAGAAGGAAGGTTAGGGTCAAATGATATTCTCCTCCTTAACTCTAGCATGTTGATGAATACACACTGTTGGATATTTTGGACATTTTTTTTACCTAAACGTTATGATCCAACACCCTCCATCTAAGAAGTCACACACCCAAAAATAAAGTAAAAAAGAAAAACAAAAAACAACAATAAAGCTCTTTAACTTGAGCATTCAATACGCATAAACAATCAACAAAGTTTGACAGGATTTCTAATCAAACCCATTGATCTTATCAGTTTCAACTTCCTGTATAAACTTCGTGCATAATTTCATTCAGCATATCTAAATTAGTTTCGGCTGGTTCATAGAATGAATCTAAATCAATCAAAGAATGTACGAAAACAATGTCGGACGAATGAATCTATATATATGTGTATATAAACATTCCATCAATAATATTGAAATAATACCTCCAAATGTGAAAGGGCCATTATTAAAGAGAAGTGCAGGTCCCCATGGGGTTCCAGAGCTTGCTGTTGTTGCTGCAGGAAACATAGGTTTGTCCGAAAACAATGTCGGACGAAACAATGTATGACTGCTTTTGCCAATTCCGAATGGACACTCAGTCCGAACAACTTCAGATGGAATCTTGGCTATACACCTTCGTTTCACGAAATTTGTTCTCAACCGATAAGCAGAATCACGAAAAATCTCCTACAATTGAAGACAACAAGTCACTAACAGTAAACTACAGAAAGTTACTTTTGTACCTAAAAATTTAAGTCCTCAAAATTTGTCTCCTCACTCATTGTGATGTATCAGTGAAAGGGATGCCAAAAAGAATAATGATTAATTCATTAATTTGAACATGTGCTCCTAGATAGAGGTTGGATACAGAGAGGATGAGAGAGATAGAGAGAGAGAGAGAGAGAGAGAGAGAGAGAGAGAGAGAGAGATTTTACTCAGGCCACTACATGCGGTGGACCTTCGCACTTCCACTAGAAAGCATTAGACACCTCTCATATAATCAATCATTTGATAACACATGAATAACTGACGGAGACACTCATGGTAAAAAACTACTCAACAAATAGTGGTAGTGATTCTAAAGGATTCACATCGGATAAGACAATCCCATGAGGATGGCAGGGTCAGTATTATTATGGTGCCTAGCAGTACTAATAATTAAATTTAATGTTTGTTTAAAATTTCAACAACATAATTTACAAGAGCTTGTTGTGAAAAATATACGTGTAGTATGAATAGCACCAAATGCTGGCCAAGAGTCACAATCAATGGCTGCCGCATGCTCTTTTACACCAAAACAAATTGGCCGAAGGATAATGAGATTGCCAAGTACTTACATAAACAAAAAAAGTTCACCAAATAATGTCAGGTCGACATCCTTGTAATCACAAAATATTCCCATAATAATAACTAAAAACTATAGAAATGACCACCCCCAGAATGACTTCATCACAGCCCAATGGTGCACTAGATGACTTAGAGATAGTGAGTAAAATTGCAGATACTGATAAATTACCCTGATGCATTTAGCACGGATTAAGTAATCCTCCACTCCATCCTCCCAAAGCTCATCTGGATGGTTTTGTAATTGACTTTGTATCCAACTGATCATGTAAGAGTTCACAACATTACCAAAAAAATCTAAACCATGTCAGAAGGAAATAGAAGAAGTACACTACACTACTACAGCACATCTCAGGTATCGATATAAATCACAGTAGTCACAAACTTCCAATCTATGACACATAACATAGCAGAGAAAGCAAGCAAAAGAACATGAACTGATACAAATAAACCTCAGATGATTTTACAGTATCTAATTTTCAAACTTGTGGTACCGCCAACAGCATTCCAGTTAAACATAAAGACACAATCTTAGGAACAGAAAACTTTTTGCCAACTTAAGCATGACAGTGTCAAATTACTGAGGTCCACCCAGCACACAAAATTTCAATGTTCGCAACTCCACCCTGCTACAAACAATTTCATCCATCTAAGATAAGCTGGAGTCAACACAAAGTACAAGCATTACACAAAACTGATGGCCACAGTTCAGTAATTTGAACCAAAAGTTCTGCAGTCCACCCCAGAACGAAGCACACAATCACTACAGCTAACTCAAGAAACTCAAATAACTAGCAAAATCAGTACTCCAGGCATTAATAATTAAAAAAAAGAAAAAAAAAACCAATGAGTGAGTGAAAAGATATAAGCAGTAAGAGACCTCGCAAACTGGATATTGAGAGCTTCCACAAGCATTCCTGATGATTTAGCTCCCAGTGCATCCAGTGGCAGCTGCCAGATAGATGTTTCTCCCTTGTCGGCATCAAATTGAGACCCCATTACTGCTATCTTGCTCTGCGTCTGCACAGCTACATAACCTTAAACACACACATTGACAAAGAAAAAAAAATATCAATCGTACCCACAAACACACACACACACACTTACGAAGGTGTCGTTACTTAGAATTGAAAACGGGGGTAGGGTCTTAGATTGCCCAATGCTTCCTGCTGGTTTTCTCTGTGTATTGGGAGGCGTATAATTTCTGGATTTAAATTTTTTTATGCCAAACTATGCAGAGACCCAAACCCTATCCAGTACGTATCTCAAAAACAAGAATAAAAAGAAATTGAGGTCCTCTTTATTATAACAATTAAATTACCTATTAAAGACTAACTGAAAATATAAAATTATATATCAATTCTATAAAATTATAAATTAATACTATAATATAAGACGGATAAATTGTACAAGCGAATAGTACTATTTCAAATATAAACAATAATAACGTGTTAAATTAAAACTCCTCTTTCATACTTCTTTTTTTAGAATTTAAGTATAAATTTGTTGTTGTGCTACTTAATAAACTAGTACGTACCGCGTGTGACGCACGGGAAAGAAATATTAAATACTAAATGAGTTATTTTCATAGGCTCTATCCGTTTAAGTTAAAAAGCAATAGGATTATCATCTATTTTCCACATCTTTTGATCAGCATTAAACCACTTCAATTTTTCAGGACAGTCTACAAGGAATCTCCATCCGAAACTCACAATTTGAGGTCATTCTAGGAGGATTTTGTATTGTGGACATAGACATTGAGCTCTTGAAATTAATTTCATAAGAAAATGCAAGCAAATGATAACTTGATTAAAACAAAACAAGCATTCAAACCTTAGGAGATGCTTGGATATAAAAAATTTTGGTTTTTTTGGAATTTTTGGTTTGGTTTGGTTAATTTTGA